GGAGAGGGAGAGGGAGAGGAGAGAGAGAAATGTCAATGTGAGAGTGAAACATCAACAGGCTGCCCTCTTGAACATCACGTCCCAGGGATCAAGTCCACAACCAGGCATGTGCCCTGACTAGGAATTGAACTGGCAACCTTTCAGTGTATGGAATAACACCCAACCAACTGAGCCACACTGGCCAGGGCTTAAAGGCATTTTTAGCTTATGATATTTTTAACTTAAGATGGATTTTTCAGGATGTAATCCCATTTCTAAGTCCAGGAGCATCTGTATAGCCATAGAATGGAATAATATTCAGCCATAAAAACAATGAAGCACTGACACATGTGATGTGGATAAACTGAAAATACTATGATAAATGAAAGAAGCCAGTCACAAAAAAGATCACATGTTATATAACTCCATTTATATAAAATGTCCAGAATAGGCAAATCTATAAAGACAGGAAGTAGATTATTGCCTAAAGCTAGGGAAGGAGTGACTTTAAGGGGAAAATTATACCCTGCTAATGGGCATGGGTACATCTATTTGAGATAATGAAAATGTTCTGAAGTTAGAGAAAATGGTTGTATGACTCTGTGTATATACTAAAAGCCACTAAACTGTACACGTTAAATGGGTGAGTTTTATGTATGTGAATTATATCTCGATACAGCTGTTTTAAAAAAGGATTCTATAGTAGTGGCAGTTAGATGAATGGCTACCCTTTGTGAGAGGCAGTAAATGGAACAGTACTTCTGGGTGTTGGGAATGCTCTGATTCCGGTTACTTGAGTTTTTGTGTCTTCTGTCTTGATAAGAAGTTACTTTTAAACACACAGAGAAATACATACCAACAGGTGGACCTGCTGGCACAACACACTTCTTGTCCACTCGTGAAGCAGGAGGTGCATTCTGGTTCTTAGCAAGATTCTCCTGTATCAATTCCTGTACCCGGGTTTCATTAATCTTTGGGAAAGGAAGAATATGAACTCGCAAGTGAGATCCTTCTGTGGGGCGTGGAACTTTCTGAAACGCCATATGAGGGTTTGGGTTCTCCTGCAATATCAAACACAGGTAAGATTATGCAGAAGTTAAAATAACGGCAGACTGTCAGGAAGGGAGTGGGAGCTGAGAGGGAACAAGCTGCAGTCAGATGAGTGAGTACCTGTACACTCAGATACATGCCATAAAACAGAGCCCCAGAGCCTTACTTCAGCAGCATCAGAAACAGCTGACCCCCCTCCTTCCCCTTTCATGAACACGTTTTCACTTGATTTCTAGGTCTTCTTGCTATGTCTTTATTTTTTATCTCCCTAATCTCTTAACTATGTGAATATCCCAGGGCTCAGACCTTGGGCTTCTCTTCTATTTATACTTACTTCCTTGGTGATAATTTCCAGCTTCATATCTTTAAGCCACAAAAACACCAAGAACTCACAAATTTTTATCTCCACCTGAGCTTTCTCTTGAACTCCATGCCCAAATATTCAATATAAGTATTTCCATCTGGATTTAAATATCATTTTATATGTCCAAAATGGAGCACTTAATCTCCACCTTTCCAAATCTGTTTTCTGCAGTCTCACCTCTTCCGTATATGGCATGTTTATTTTTCCAATTACTCAGGTGAAAAGCTGAGTCACCTTAATGCCTTTCTGTAACACCCAATTATCCATTCCTCTGCAAACCTCTGGACGCTGCCTTTAAAGCATGTCTAAATCTGACCACTTTCCAACACCTTGGGTCAAGACAACATCTCTCCTCTACTACAGAACCACGTCTCCTCACGGGCCTCCCTGCTCCCACCATTGCTCCCTCGGCTGCTCCATTCTTAACACCACAGACAGAATGAACCAAAGTTAAATCACCACCAACCACTCTGTTCGATCAAACAGCTCTTTATCTCACTCAGAGTAAAACCCAAAGTTTCCACAATAATTTACAAGGCCCCACAAGATATGACTTTTCTATGCGACCATGTCCTACTACTGTCTCTTCCTTCATTCTGCTTGACATTCAGGCCTTCTTTCTCCTGACCCAAGGCCTTTGCATTTAACTCCCACCTCTTCGGAATGCCTGTTCCCCCACCGATTTACTGAACCCTCTCTCCCTTTCTCCATTTCTTTCCTCAAATGCCACCTTTCTTGGCCACCCTATGTAACTTTATCTCCCCAACACACACCCTAGCCCCTTATTATATTTTCCTCCTTAGCACCTATCAACCTTCTCACATACTCTAAATCTTATTTAACTTGACTGTCTATCCTTCTCTCAGTAACATGAAGCTCCACAAGGGCAGACTTTTCAGTCAATTAAAAATACTTTTTTTATCCTCTCCATCTAGAGATTGCCTGGCATGTAGCAGGCACCCTAAGCTACCTCCTACTGTATCCTAACAAACGGGATACAATGTTGAGCACATATTAGGATTGTCATAATTAAATTAAATGTGTCATGGATTTTGATCCAGTCACCTAGTTAAGTAGGATTATATTTCAAATACTATAGGCAGAGTGAAATCCACCTCTTTATCAAGTTCTCTAGGGAAGGCTGCTTTACAACCATTTTGAGACGAATTCTAGCATTTATTATCCTTTGTAACCAGAAAATTCCTCCTCCCCCAAAAGAACCTATATTATTCATGTTGTAGATTAAGCTCATCACTACCCTATGCATTTTCTGACAGTTAAAATGGCCACTGTCATCGTGTATTAGAGTTGCTCCCCACGATTCTTTTTGGTTATTTGGCCCAGACCCAGAAAAAAGAAAGGTTGGGCCACAGCAGATGATGTAGGAAGCACATCTCAGCAATACAATGGAGATAATATTCCTTTAAAGTGTCACAAAGCCTCGGTCCCCTTTTTTGCTCTGCTCTCTATGTAATACTGGATAAGTAACTCTGCCTCAGGTACACACTCATGCTTCTTTTAAAAGGTTCCTGAGAAGTTGAAATTAGATAGAAAACTTGTTCTGGCCAGAGCAGCCCTCATACACACTTTGTATTCCTCCCCTTATGTCATTAGCAAGGACAGGGAAGAATAAATACGTAAATTCCTACGCCAAGACTTCATGATCACCACTTTCCAAACTATATGGTGACATATTCCTGTTCTAAAGTTATTCCTGGATTAACACCAACATCACTGGACTATAGTTTATAAAATGGCCCTTTTCAAATAGCATATTTGTTTTTCTCTGTTCTTTAGGCACAAGTCTAAGGTGTGTTTTCAAAAGTTATACATATAAATTTTCTTTTTTTTAAAAATATATTTTATTGATTTTTTACAAAGAGGAAGGGAGAGAGATAGAGAGTTAGAAACATCGATGAGAGAGAAACATCGACCAGCTGCCTCCTGCACATCTCCCACTGGGGATGTGCCCGCAACCCAGGCACATGCCCTTGACCGGAATCGAACCTGGGACCCTTCAGTCCGCAGCCCGACGCTCTATCCACTGAGCCAAACCGGTTTCGGCAATACATATAAATTTTCTAAAATCCCTTGGGAAGATATTTTTTTCAGGATGGGGAGGTAATTCACATGCATTTTAAGGTTTAAATCAGAATCATTTAAAATATAGTCTTCACTA